TTCAGTGTCTGCAAGGTGTAGAGTAGGATCTACCTTCTCTTGATGAAGTTCGCGAAGCTCAAAAGCTAGAGTAGTGGATACGAAGACTTCAAGATGGGTTTGAGAATCCTGCATCACTTATTGATGACTTGCCTTTCCGGCATTTACATTCTCAATATCGCTTTGAAGATGGCCTTCTTTATTTTGTGGGGACAGATCTTGATAATCATTTACGGTTGGTGGTGCTTTCTGTCTTTATTCCGTAGTTTCTCCATGTCTACCATAATTCTCCTATTCTAGGTGGGCATATAGGACATTGTCATATAGTCGAGAAGCTGCGCAGGTCTTTCTATTGGCTGAAGATGCGACATGATGTTATGCAGCATATACATAGTTGCGTTTGGTGCCAAGCTCGTAAGCTCCCCCTTGTGCCACAAAAGGATGGTTGGAGTCAATTATAGTTTCCGTCTGTTTGAGTTGGTGGCATTTGATCTTATGGGACCTTTTCCACGGTCGATTGCTAGCAATGAGTATGTTATTATTGGTTTTGATTACTTGACTCGTTGGGTGGAAGTTGGTACTCTTGCTAGTGCCTTTGCAATTGCTGTTGGATACTTTCCTCCTCAATCAAGTGGTGTTCTAGCATTCTTGTTCAGAGCGGATTCTTTCGGATAATGGTCCCACATTTATGGCTGAGGCATTTCATGTTTTGACGTCTTGGTTGGGGATACGCCACACTTTCACAAGTGTTTATCATCCACAATCAGACAGTCTAGCGAAATGGCTTGTTCAGACATTCAAAGGAATGATTGCGAAGTATGTGAACTTTCAGCATTTGGATTGGGATGGTTATTTGTCATCTCTTCGGTATGCATATGTCATAGGGTGCAGAGTTCTATTGGTGCTTTACCATATAAAATCTTATATGGTCATGATCCATTATTACCAACAGAGCTGGGTTTACCTTCGCGATTGCCACGAGCTGCCAATGCTAGGTCATGGGATCAGTATTTGACGAGCATTCTTCCACTTGTCTGAGCAAAGTCTATTGAACACTTAGGCCGCATACAAGTGGGACAACAACGGCGCTACAACTCCCATCATTGTTCACCTACTGAGTACAAAGTGGATGATTTGGTGTTAGTCTGTTTTCCCCATCTTACGGTACGTGGTTTATCTAAAGGCTTCTTGCACAGTGGAAAGGACCGTATCGGGTGTTGCAGCAAGTTGGACCACAAGTTTATGAGGTACGGCATGACGTCCAACAAGTTGATCCTCTAGAGATTATGCATGTGCAACAGTTGAAGCACTTCATACAAAGGGATCAGGAGCAGTTAATACCACCTACAGATCCACCGATGCCTCCTCCTGACATTCCTCTAGATCCCGGCCCGTCTACAAGAGGAGGGGATGATGTGAGGGCCAAGTGTATGGCTACAATGCCATATACTAAAATTAGCATAGTGAGATTTTGGTAGTAGTCAGATTGGTTTCAATTCGGACCATTCACTCTTGTATATAAGCTAGGGTTTTTGGGCTAATTGATATGCACACTTTCTATATTCCCTTTCCATATTCCAAGCACTCACAAACTCAGTAGTAAGTTATGAGATGTATTCATTTTTAAATGAATTCTTTGGCTATAATCAGATGGAAGTAACATCTGAAGATTAACACAAAACAATTTTTATAAGTCTATAGGGAACTTATACCTATTGCAAAATGCCTTTTAGCTTATGCAATGCTTTATTTACATTTCAAAGAGTTGTTATGAACACATTTAGAGAGTATTTCATTGATTTCATGAGAGTTTTCATGGATGATTTTAGTGTCTTCAACTTTAGAAAGGAACATTTAGTTTTTTTGCAAAAATATTTTCAAAAATGCAGAGAACATAGTATTTCTAATGAAATGTATGCCCGAATTTACAAAAAAATACATTTCTTAATCTAGAGAAATGTATTTTTTTTGTAAATTCAGGCATACTTTTAGGTTATATTGTATGCAAGGAAGGTTTTCTTGTAGACAAAGACAAGATATTAAGACAATGTCTCCACCACACAACTTAAAAAGTCTCCGTTGCTTTCTAGGCAAAGTTGGCTATCACAAGCAATTTATAAAAGCTTATGCAAAAATTACAAAGCCATTTACTAATCTTTTAAAGAAAGATCTCCATTTATATGGAACAAAAATTGTTTAAAAGTATTTTTAAGGCTTAAATAATGCCTCAAATAAGCATATATACTTATTAAGCTTGACTAGACAAAGGAATTTCACCTACAAGTTGTAAGCAACCAAAGGGAACTACTCGAGAGACGATCCATAGGGTTTAAATATAGAGGGAAAAGGCCCATGAACAAGAGTGCACCCCTTTTTCCAATTGGTTAAGGATATTAGGATATTTGGGGTTAAATGTTTTTGAATTTGAATAGTATTGGGCTAGGTGACCTCCTAGGAAGTCCAAACTCAGCAGTTTATACAGGTGGATACTTATAATATGGCCATATGTGCAATATTATCCCAGAGACAAGGTGATTACTATGTCAGCAGATGCTTAAATTCTATTGAGTATAACTATATAACAACTGAAAAAAAAAAAGGCTTAGACGTAGTTTACGCTTTACAAAAATTTAGACATTATCTTTAGTAACAAAAGTAATTGTCTTTGTTGACCATAAAGCTTTCTTATATCTTATCAACAAGTTGTGCATATCTACTCAACTAACTAGATGGTTTTTACTATTACAAGAATATAATCTTGAAATATTATATAGACCTGAAAATTTTTATGAACAATCCGATTGCCTAAACTACATCACTACATGAAAGTCACTTAATACTAAGGTTGACAAACTCCCAAATGCTCATTTATTTGCAATCTCTTTACCCACCATTTGGTTGGAAGATATACAAATTTATCTCTCTATAGGCATAATTCCACCTTACTATAATTTAGTAAAAAAAAGAAATTGTTTGTTTTGAGGACATGACATTACTCTGTCGTGGGAGAGCGCCTATATAAATTAAACATCAATGAAACACTAAAGAAATATGTTAATAGGCACAAAGAACGAAATGAAATCTTAAGGGAAGCTCACTCAAGCCCATCAAAAAGCCATTTTCCAATTGAAATCACTGTTAAGAAAGTCTTACAAATAGGGTTGTGGTGGCCTACACTTTGGAAAGATACAACAATTTTTTGCAAAAATGGCAATTTGCCAAATGCATAAACTCCCACCTAAAAAGTAAATTCACAAACTAAATCCTATATATCCATATAAAGCATTTCACAAATAGAAATTAGATTTTGTTAGTCCTATAGTACAAGTAATAAGAAGAACAAATGCATTTTATTCGCCACTGATTATGTGACTAAATGGGTAGAAGGTATGCTTATGAAATAAACCTTAGCTGCTAACACATCCAAATTCCTATATGAAAATATCATTGTAAGATTTAGTTTACTGAAGGAAATTGTCACAGATAAAGGCACAAATTTCATCAATGAAACAATAAAAAGTTTTATATAAGAATTCATCCTTATGCATAAAAAGTCCATGCCATATTACTTACAAGGGAATGGTCAGATTAAATCTACTAACAAAGTACTTAAGAATATCCTGAAAATTTGTAAAAAATAATCAAAAAGACTAGGATGAGAAAAATTCTAGATGCTTTGTGGGCTTATAAGACTACATATATAGTATCCATATGCATGACACCATTTCATCTCACTTATAGCCAGAAAACTTTAATGCTTATGGAATTTATAATTTCTTCTTTACATATTGCAATTAAAAATGGCTTACATGAAAAAGAAGCAAAGACTTGCCAAAATAAAAAATTTAGACAAACTTAAACTTAGAGCAATTTGAACCTTGCATGTAATTCAAAAAGCCAAAAAAACTAGGCATGGTAGACAATTATAAATTTCTTACGAGCTTAAATCAAGAGATAAAGTCCTTTAATATCAAGGCAAAATAAATGCTCTTGGAAATAAATTCAAGAGAAAATGGAATAGTCTATTTATTTTGTCTAATATATCAGCTCTAGGAACGATTGAAGTGCACACTTTAAACAGGGACGGTACTACAATAATAAATTTAAATTGTTTAAGGAAGTATCATGAAGATATAAACATAAATATTATTTATATCTTAGGGTACAAAACTATGGATAAGCTCGTAGATGAAGCCCTTGTAGGGATTCATCATGATGAACTACCTAAATGCATAAATAAAATGGCCAACTGGATGAAGGATAGAGGTCTAGAAAAATTCTACAAAGTGACATTAAACTTTGTAGAACTATAGGAAGGCAAATTGATTCTTCAATTATGGGATCTTATAAAATTGGTTTTTAAAATAGATAGAAGGGATATTAAGATCACTCAAGATCTTATTTCCAAGTTTTTTTTATCTTCCCATAAAGGGAATTGGAAAGGAGTAATCTTTTTTGAGAAGCTTATCTATTCATTTAGAACAAAGGGAAAATAAATATCCCTTGGGAAAGATTCATCTTTATGCTAGAGAAACCCTCATATATCTAAGTGCTTTTTTTCACATGAATGTTCCAAAAAAAGAAATCAAGGGATACATTAGATAGATATTTCTTTTTTTGGAGCAGGCCTTCCTTCAAAATCTTGCTAGAATGGTTTATAGAAATTTTCTTTAGGCAATACAATACTTAAAAAAAAGAAATAAAGGGGAAATACTCTAAAAGTAATGTTTACATTTTTCTTGCCCCATTCTATAAACTCTGCCAATAAACCATGAGGATTGATGAGTAGAGATTACTAAGCCAACAAGGAAAAAAAAATTCCACAATACATTTGCATACAAAAACAAACAAAGGCAAAAAGATAAATCTTAAGGCTAACGAAAAGGCAACTTAAGTAACTTGGAGGTGGCTAGGGAGCTTTTTTTTCTCTCTCACTCTTTCCCTCTCACTCAATCTACGCTTACACCTTCGCCAAGAGGCATTGATATTCCAAGTTTAGCTCTGAAGCAATGTATGGCAACTCAAATGCCGCTTAAGGCTGCGCAAGAGCAAACGTTATTGTCGCTGCCTATTGGGTCGAGCAGATTTGTCCTCATGCCATTGCCACAAGTCGTTGACTCCACTCTTGCACCGTTGACGCAAAATCTCTTTTGGGCACCTACATTAGCACCACACTCCGTCTCTTGGTTGCCTAACATTGAGTGTTTCGCTTACAAATCTCAACCTAGGGAGCTTGTGCTTTCTCCTTATAAGAAGTTTTGGCTTAATGCTTTTAGGTTACTTACCTATGCAAAACTGCTCGAAGGAGAAATAACGGTCAAGTTGGGGATCGAGCTTATAAAGAAGTGGTACCCAAAGGAGCATATTTTTCTTTTCTACGGGCGAGTCCATCCCTTTAGACTCACCCAGTTTGCTCAGATTTTTCACCTAGACAACGAGAGCAAAATAATCACGATGAGCAAGAAGGATCACATACCCAAACAAGATGTCCTCTCAAATTACACATCCAGACGAGGAGGCAACTTCACTTACTTTAAGCCTAACTATTATGCTAAGTTTAAAGTGTTGTGTGCCATCATCAATGGGAAGACAATTGCACAAAATAGTAGCATTAAAATAGCCTGTTTATTGGAAGTTATCGAGACTGGATGGCAAATAAACATAACTCATTTCACTTACAATGGATTTGTGGCTGAAATGAAAAATATTGCCTTATAGGTAAGCAAGGGAAGGCAAGTGAAAATAAGAATTTTCATCTTTTTGTGGCGCATCTATGAACATTACACCACTCAAGTGGATCCCATACCGCATCTTGCCATTGAGCCACCATCTTCAGTATCTCCTCTGAGGGAGATAGCGAGGGATGTAGAAGCGGAGGAGAATCCTAATGATACAAATTTAAGCAAGGAAAATTCTCCCTTTAAAAGGGAACACTACCTGAATCCAAAAATCCAAACTATGAGACCTCCAGGGTTCATTCCGTAGAAATCCAGTAGTCAAATATGCTGCAAAAAAGCTAGACGTAGCAAGTATGGTGATAAAACGCCATGCCCATATCGGAAATAAAGTTGCAACTCATCTATGTATATAGAGACAACTCTAATGCCTACATAAATCTCTTCAAGAATTAAAGAAGTGACGAGTACAAATGGACAACACTAGGTGAATGATGGATGCCAAAGTTGTGGAAGAAATTTTAGAACTTAAGCCATAAGGTTTAACACACAATGGGCCTACAGATGTTGCAAAACCATTGGCTGTAGCCCAATGAAGTGAGTGTAGGCTAAGAAGATCATAGCCAAGAAACTAAATGAGACAAAGAGGACAAGGTTACAAAAGAGAGTCTAAGTGAACTGGAGGAGTATGGGTTAATTTTTCTCTAGTCCACTTATACATCTGACAGCGACACTCCCTCTGCCAACAAGTCTAGCGAGATGAGGCAGCCACAGTAGCAGCAGACGCTACAGCAGCACTTTAAGGTCAAGGCTAACTGTGCCTTCGTGCACAAGTCTGCAAGTCAACCTAGCCAGCTAATAGTCCAAAGCTTCATGGAAGAGTTTGCTCAACATATCAAAGGAGGCAAGTAGCTAGTTGATGAGCCAATGCAGCAGGTAGAAGATGAGGAAACTATGAAGTACCACATGTAAGTCTTGAGCTACCTCAAGACAATCACTAAGAAAGTGGATGGAGTCATGGGTGACTAGAATCATCAATGCCACATAATCCAAGAGTTCAAGAGTGCAATCCCAACGTCCTCAACCACTAATGTAGAGCGCATTAGCCGCCAGGACCAGTGCATTACTATACTCAACTAGGAGAATTAAATCATGCATCAGGAATTCAACCATCTATGCCAAAGTGTTGAGTTTGTCACTATGAAGACCTTGGTCAGCAACCAAGAGCAGGATTTGGAGAATTTGATTACCTGAGGACAAGTAATACCTTTGTTGTGGGGGAATGATGAAAAGGTAAATGTTTTATTTTGTATATCTTCTCAAGTAGAGCAAAAGAAGGAAGCTTAGGTGAAATGGAATTATGTTTAAGGTTAGGCATTCAAAAAAAAACCTAATCTAAAGAACGTTCATCATAGATAAGTGTGAAAAAATTATGAACAGTTATAAAATCATTTACTATATAAGTAACACTTGACATGCTAAAAAACAACCCCAATTCACTATTGTATGCATTACATTGAATTAACCATCATTTCTCCTGTTTATGATTGTTTGTGCAAAGTAGAATTAAAAAAGTGATATATGGTTATCCTTACTCATGCGTTTAGGGTTTGAGGCTAAATTCTATTCTCTTTTATCTTCTTCTCTTCTCTTTTCTTCTTCTATGTTCTCGTCTTTATTTTTTTATCACTATTTTGCAAATAAGGCAAGAACATGAGTACAGGCAGAAAAAGCCTTACTTAGTGTTTAAGGTATTTCTGTATAGCTTTTTTCTTAATAATCTGAACAAGAAGATAATCATAGGGGTAGTGGGAATCCCATTCATGGGTGTCACTAATTACATAACTAAGGCATTTGGCTAACTCAAAAGATAATATGAACCAATCAAAGTGCTTACAAATGCATTTCTTACAAAAGCATATTGTGTTTCAATTTGCATTTGAACTCGCTCCACACAAAAGTTAGGTGAAGTTTGAAGACAATTTGACACATAAACTTTTTATAAAATTATGATTACTAATGCATCAAGATGCTAGAAGATCATTTATAAATATGACAAGTGAAACGTGAATGACAAGCTCATGAAGCCATACTTTTAATTTTAAGCATTTATTTTCTTAGAGGTCCTAAACCTCAGAGTTTTACCATCTATGAGCTGAGTGAGTTTGATGATAGTAATAAAAGTTGCTCGATAAACCAAAATCATGCTTAACAGGATTATAAAGTTCAACCATTTAGATCTTGAGAGATCTACTTGATACTGTTTAAGAACTGTTGTTCCTGATAGCTTTCCTTCAGAAATATCATTATTATCAAACTCAAGCCCTTGAAAATCATTTTCATAAAGACCCTGTTATAATTTTTTTAATTTCAAGAAAATAGATAATATTTGTTTACCTGAAGTAAATATGTTTGAAATGCTATATAATGCATTGGATATTTCCAAAAGCCTTTTGGCAGTTCATTAGCAAGTTTAAAAAATCCATCAACAAGCATGAATAACCCCTGAAAAATTGTATTAGAAACGGTTTAATAAATATAAAGAGATTTTACCAAGATTCCAGATCCTGTAATTATTCCCATGAGAAAATTGGGAACAATTGATGCTACACACATCATCAAGCTCTCCACCACAGTCACAGATGCAAATAAGTTCAACACAAAAAATATGAAGTGATCAAATCCCGGGTGGAGTTTAACCATATTATAAAACACACTTGTTGATATCAATGAAATAAGAAGGAGATAAGGCATGGAAGAGAGTGTGTTTGCGAGAGTAAACACAATGGGACCATAGTAACCATTTTGTTTCTCATGATTAAAAACCTGAAGAAAATAGCACTGGATATGAAAACAAGACAATTCTAGAACTATCCCATACCTTAATCTCTTCAATGAAAGATGGAAAACCTCCAATTGACATGAATGTAAGAAATTTACCAATAAAAGCCATACAGCCAATCCTTGCCTAAAAATAACCAAAAGAGCTTAACCATGGTTAGGAATTTTTTTTGGTATTCTCTTACTGCAATGGAGTTGTATTTAGTGCCGACATTAAAATATATACTGCCAATAACGATGCTAAGCATAAAGTACACAAAGATTCTCAGCCAATAGTATCCAATATCTCTTGTCATATTTAGAAATGATCTTTTAGTTAACATGGAAAGCTGATGGAGAACTCCTGCTTGAGGCATCTGGATGCATTCATTCTATAAATATTAATCCATTATTAATCATAATATTTTAAAAAATCAAGTCATTTACCTTTGCACCAGGTGTGTCACACAAACTGTTTAGAAGGTTCACCTTAGTCACACAAAGAATGTCAACTTTTGTGTGGAGGGATCTCAAATGCAAATTTTGAAATGCATTTGTAAGCACTTTGATTGCTTCAGAAGCTGGAACTATTTCTTGAGTTTCAATATCTTCCTGTTCAAATTGAGATGACTATTAAGAAATAAATCTCTAGAAAACAGACAAATGAATACCTTAAACTTGTTTTGAACATTGTCAAAATCGGAATTAGTAACTCTAAGATAATGGTCTGATGGATTTCTTCGGAGAGGGCAAGGAAATCCAGCACTGTCGAAGAACTAAAATAAAATAAAAACCATAAAGAATATGAGATTTGAGAAAAGTACCGTGCTAGCTTCCATGGCATCTCCAAAATATACAAGTGCACCCTGAGATAGTAGGCAAAGATTATCAAACTGCTCAAACACTTCGCTACTTGGCTGGTGAATTGACATAATAACGGTGCGTTTTGAAGTAGCGAGGTTCTTAATTGTTTTAATCACATAAAACGCGGATGCACTGCAAAGAAAAACATCAAATAAAAATTACGATAAACCGAAATATTCACCTGTCTAAACCACTGGTTGGTTCGTCCATGAACAAAAGAGATGGCTGAGTTAGAATCTCCAGAGCAATGCTCACTCTTCGTTTCTCCCCTCCGCTCAATCCACGCGAGAACCAACCTCCCACCACTGTATGCTTGCAATCTCCAAGCCCCATCTCAGTGATCACACTCTCAACCATCTCCATCTTTTGGCTTCGCGGCAGCGAGTGAGGCAGCCTCAATTGAGCAGAGTAAGTGATTGTCTCCAAGACAGTGAGTGTTCCTAGCAAAACATCTTCTTGTTTCACATAGGCCTACGACAGAAAGTTTGAGAATCACAGAATCAAATGTTTATATACACACCGCAGTCCCATGCCTCATGTTCGTCTGGAGATTCCCATTGACAAAAATGGATCCTTCTCGCCTCGCGTTCTTGGCCAATCTACCTGTGATGAACGACAATGCAAGAATCTCGAGCTTTAATCTATTGCACCCAGATCAATCTTGGAAAACTATACCAGCAAGCGCATCGAGCAAGGTGGACTTTCCGGATCCCGAAGGACCCATGATCGCCGTGATTTGGCCGCTCTGGGCATAGCCGCACATACTCTCCAGCAACACTCGTCCATTGCTCGCGCTCACACTCAAATCCTTCCATGCCACATCCATAATAATATATCAGTTCTTCTTTCTCATGAAAACTTTGGTAAGATTTATAGCTCTCCAAGTTGGACTTGGACTTTCAGCTACTGTAACACGGTAAGATCTTAGATTCGTAGGAGATTAAGAGTGTAAAATATTGTGTACTTTCTTTCTTGTGTTGACTTGACTTTCCCATTCGAAGTCTGTCCTTCTCTTCTCAGGAAATTTGGCATTCCAAGGACCGCTCTCTAGACATATCTTGTCTTTCCCAAAGGTAACTCCCCATTAAGTTCTTCCATGTCACGCCTCAATGCTCTGCAAGGAAGAAGCTTGTCAACAAAAGACTACGACTTCATAATCAAGCCGACACCTCTCGACTTATCCTTAGAATTTGTCAAACTTGACAAAAAATCTCGTTTCCTTGACCATGTTTCTCCTAAAGTGATCTGGAAAAATAGGACAGAAATCCACCCGGCATCTGTGAAGACATTTTCCTCACGCGGTGCACTAAAACAGGATATTTGTGATGGCTGAAGAGGAGCAGGAGTGCATTCGAGGCAGCCACTTCGTTAAGAACAGGTAAGTTTGCAAACGATGTCTTACAGCATCTCGTCTCATACCGTAATGATGTGTAGCGAACGTATCACAATCAAAGTAGGAGAGGCTCACCGGTAAGACGATGAGGTGCTTTGCTCCAAAGTCGGCTTCCAAGGTCGGCAAGGTAACTCCCAGCATCGAGGAGGATTGGCAGCCAATCTTCAAGCCCAATCCTTTCAAGTTCTTCAGGCCCTTTGACGATGAGCAAAAGTGTGTCTGGCTCAGATCCCAGATCATCGGCTCCCAGCTCCAAATCTCCACACCATTCGGCAGCAGGCTTCTCACTTATGCCGATTACACTGCCTCTGGCCGCTGCTTGTTCTATATAGAAAACTTCCTCATCAAGCAGGTCATGCCGTCCTACGGTGAGTGAAGCCGTGAATTCTCTTCTGCATATCTGGACCCGCTGCATTCTGTTTCAGGGAACACGCATGCCGAGGACAGCTACGTCGGAGAGAAGACCACCCGGATGGTGAAACTGGCCACGAGTTATGTCAAGGAGTCCCTGGGAGGAACCGAGGATGATGCTCTCTTCTTCTGCGGCTCTGGAACCACTGCAGCTGTGAAAAAGCTCCACGAACTTTTGGGCTTGTCTGTGCCGCCCCAAATGAGAGAGTCAGCCGTGGCAGCGATCGATGACAGGAAGAGATGGCTGGTGTTCATAGGCCCATACGAGCATCATTCCAACCTTCTTCCCTGGAGGCAAAGTCTTGCCGAGGTTGGACTTTTTAGTTTCTCTCAATCTGTCAACTGTTTAAACCACAGGTTATTCAAGTTCCAATGACCGAGGATGGATTGATTGACATGAAGTACCTCGAAGAGGAGCTGCAAAATCCCAAGCACGCAGATCGTCCAATGCTTGGGTCCTTCTCCGCTTGCAGTAATGTCACGGGAGTTTTAGCGGACACTAGAGCCATCGCTCGCCTTCTACACAAACATGGAGCATTAGCATGTTTTGATTTCGCAAGCTGGTAAGACGAGATCTTTTACCAAGGACGAAAATAAGCTAATCTGATCAACAGCGGTCCATACGTGAAGATCGACATGCGATCGCGAAAAGCTGATGGATACGATGCTGTGATGCTGAGTCCACACAAGTATGTCGGAGGGCCAGGAACACCGGGCCTGCTTTGCATGAACAAAAAGCTTTACAAGCTCAAGGATCACGCACCGTCGACAACAGGTGGAGGAGTGGTAGACTTCGTCAACTACAACAAAGAGGTCAGTTCCCTTTCCAGCGAAAGAAAAAAGTAAACCAACACTAAACAAACTCATACCAGGACACACTCTACCTGGAGGACATTGAAAGCCGAGAAGACGCTGGAACACCTTCCATACTCCAGCGGATAAAAGCCGGGATTGTCTTCACTGTCCAAGAAGAAATGGGATACCGTCTCATCGAGTCGAGAGAGCACAACTTCATCACCACCGCGTTGAAAAGGTTGTCCAAGAACCGAAAGATAGTGGTGCTCGGGAACAAGCAAGTGAAACGAGCAGCGATCGTCTCGTTCGTCGTCTGGACCACTGATTCCAACGGTGGAATCCAGCAAACCGTGCTGCAAGGCCGGTTTGTAGCCAAGCTCCTCAACGATTTGTTTGGGATCCAGTCGAGAGGAGGGTGCTCGTGTGCCGGTCCTTACGGCCACAAGCTTCTCAAAGTCAGTGATGAGCTCTCCCTGAAATTTCGAGCGGCAATTCAAGAGGTTGAGAAGTAAAACAATAGAAGGTTTCGCCAAGGAGCTTTTTCTAACGAGGAAAGGACTTTTTTTTTTCTCACAGGGATATAGCGGTGTCAAACCTGGATGGACGCGCTTGAACTTCGCATACTTCCTCTCCAAGGAAGAGTTCCATTTCTTGCTGTGCGCCATAGAGTTCGTGGCGGACTATGGCCAACGCTTTCTCCCCCTCTACGAATTCGAGTGGCAGACTGGGAACTGGAAATACGAGGAGAAGAACAGCATCAACACCACCGCCAAGGCCACATTACACAAGGAATGGACGAAACTCCCACTGCTCCAGCAGCATAAAGATTACCTGGGTACCGCTATGGCGATTGCCAAGCAACTGGCTCACGATCCAGGGCAGAGCAGCACGGCGCCCGCCGGCATTGATCCCGAGCTCGTTACCTTCCGATTCTAGGGTTCTTGAGCGCTATGTACTAGTATATTCGTTTCGCATCAATTCAAACAAAAGTTTGTGTGGTGGGATATATATACTTTACGCAACCCATCTCCAAAGTCAACGAGTCTTTCAGTGACTTCGCAAGACTCTCTAAAGATTGAGCACGTGTTTGAGACTAAGATTCTTGCATTGTCGTTCATCACAGGTAGATTGTGGGGCGAGAAGGATCCAATGGGAATCTCCAGACAAACATGAGGCATGGGACTGTGGTGTGTATAAACATTTGATTTAGTGATTCTCAAGCTTTCTATCAGATGCTTATGTAAATCAAGAGCATGTTTTGCTGGGAAAGCTCACTGTTCTGGAGACAATCACTTACTCTGCTTATTTGAGGCAGCCTACCACGCAGCCAAAAGAGGAGGGGGATGGTCCAAAGTTGAGTTGAGCTCACGAGTTGAGCTCAATTCAGTGTAAGCAACCAAAGGGAATGACTTGAGAGACAATCCATGGGGTTTAAATATAGAGGGAAAGGGCCCATGAACAAGAATGCACCCCCTTTTCCAATCGGTTAAGGGTCTTGGGATATTTGGGGTTAAGCGTCCTTGGGTTTGAATAGTACTGGGCTGGGTGACCTCCCGGGAGGGTAGGGTGTCAAGAAAGCAGGGCTCTCGGGAGAGCTACGGCTCTTAGCTTCCGTTCATGAGGGCGTGAACTTGCAGGGAAGCGTGGTGGATTGTAAGCAACCAAAAGGAACGACTCGAGAGACGATCCATGGGGTTCAAATATAGAGGGAAAGGGCCCATGAACAAGAGTGCACCCCCTTTTCCAATCGGTTAAGGGTCTTGGGATATTTGGGGTTAAGCGTCCTTGGGTTTGAATAGTATAGGAAATATTAAGTCAGAAAAATGTTATTCTTTGGTGAACTTGAAATTTATGAATTTAAGTATCAATGGTTCAGAGAGATTTCTATTTTTTGAATCTTTCTAATGCAATTTATACAATTTCTAGAATTAGAAGTTCATCTGAACCCATAGAAATTTTTGGGCTTTATTGGTCCCAAATAAAATGGGAATATTGAAGTTCGAATGAACCTAAAATTTCTATTGTACATTTCAACATTTTAACATTTCAACAATTGACCAAAAATATATAAATAATTTGAAACACTGATTCACTCGTTCATTCTTTAGTGTTTACAGAGATGGGAAGCAAGGAAGACAAAAAATCTGTAAGTAGTTCTAGCATACAGAAATGTGAGAATGTTAATTTTGTTTCACTACCACAATCTCCATATTACACGCCTGATCCTTATTACCCATCCGGGAATGTGGAGACCACTGTCACTATTGATAAAAATGCTCCTGTTACTTCCGAAACAACAATCCAGAGCAAAAGAAAAAAAGAAATGGACAGCACAGCGGAAAGCACTAATAAATCCACTCTATAAACCTTTCAATGGCTTTTGTAATCCACTAAAATATTATAAAAAAATGTAAGTTTTTTATATATATATCTTATTCCTTTTGATATGTTTTGTCTTTGCAAAGATATATGATGTGGACAAATCAAAGATTTAAATCTATATATGATTTTGGGATTGAAAGGTAATCTTGCAAAAAGGCATACTCATGTGCTTGTGTGTATTCGCCATTATTATATATGGCAGGCCAACTATATAAAATAAGGCTCCGTATTAATTATATGCTAGTTTTTAGTGTAAGCGACTAATTTTTCCATTTTACTTTAGTCACTTAACCACACCTCCGACCACTTGGAGGAGTCTCATTCACAACCTCCATAAGTCCAACTCAGGACTTGGGGCTTGCCAGCCCCGAGAATGGCATCCATGCCACTCAACCTTAGCACTTGGTCCAAGTGCTCCCCGTGTCCGATCCCATGATCGACACCCCAAGGTACCACCGACGTATCGGCCCGTTACGTTAAGGCCATGCCCATTCACCTTGGTCACACCTATGGTCTGACACCACTTGCATCCCAGTTCTGTCACTCAAAGACTGGGCCATCCATCCATGAGTGATCATCCCAGATCCACTCCTTAGCATCCTTAGGATGCCCACTGACATGGGGATTAGCCTTCCCCAATATCCCTCTGTCAGTCCCCACTAAGTCCCTTTCTGCCCTTGGCCGTGTTTGCCAACACTGCCACTGGATCGAGGCCCACAGGCCCGACCACTAAGTCCCACGGTCCTTTGGGACTTCCTCACCACACGACTGCGTCCTTGGTCACTGCTCCAGAGGACTGCTCCTCTTCCTTTCCACAGTCTGGGCCTTTGGGACAACATTTCGGA